CACCGCAAAAGAACTTAAGATACAGACTATATTTAAAAAAGGATCAGAATGTTTGACGAGAAGTTTTTTAACATTAACCACCAATATAAAATGTAGCCTAGATCGTTTAAAAATGATTACCTGCTGTTAGGTTCTTTGCCAAGTTTCAGAATGCAGGAGATTATCTCCACTTAGTTACACGGGACTGATTTTTTCTACAGCAGAATCAAGGGATTGTTAGATGATAGAGCTATGTCGGTAAATTCTATGCCCAAAAGGGATGGAGAAAAGAAAACTGCTCACAGTAGCCAGATTCCTTGTTTACAGCTAAACTCCAAGCAGTTCTAAAGAGACAGCATTTAATCCAGTTACAGATTCTTACAAAGTGAAAGAGGGATCTTTAAATGTATTTTATATACAACTAGCACAATCACCTAAATGTCTCTTGTATTTCCTTCTGTAGTTCTCTGTACAGCAAGAACCCAGACTGGGACAGAGAGGCGCAACACTGTAACCCAATCAGGCTCTACTGCCTTTAACCTTCCTGAAAAGGCAAAACATTATCTCCTCTGTAAGCCTTGGCTCAGTCATTTTTCATTCACAGGCTTTAAGGGCAACTGTATTTCTGTGGTGGTCAAATGCAAGACAAGGCTGTACTGTCTGGCTGGAGTGCCTAGATTATAAAACTAGCTGCATTGAATTACAAATGTTTTGCAGAAAAATGATATGTGTTTATAGATGTATGTCAACTTTCAAAAAGAGAAAAACATCAATTATGCTTTCATGTGGATGCACTGAGCAGGCTAGATACAGAGCCATGGGGAGCAGAAAAGAACTGTCAAAAGACCTGCATAACAAGGTAAGGGAACTGTATAAAAGAGCGCTGAGCAAACCTTTTGGCGCTATATAAAACTACTGTATTATAATAAAAAAGATGGGAAATTATATAAAAAGATATCTAAAGCCTTGAATATGCCAGTCAGTACTGTTCAATCCTTATTGTGAAGTAGCAAATTTGGGTATCTCTTGACATCGAGCCAAGGTCAGGTAGACCAAGAAAGACTGCAGCCACAACTGCCAGAAGAACTGTTCGGGAAACAAAGAAAACCCACAGGTAATCTCACAAAAAATACAGGCTGCTCTGGAAAAAGATGTGTTTTTTTTTTTTTGTTTTTTTTTTTTGTTTTTTTTTAAGGAGCACAATACAATACTTAAACAAAAATGGGCTGCATAGTCAAGTTGCCAGAAAGCCTTTACCAAGCCCATGCAACAAAAAAGCCTTTTCCATTCCTGAGCACTATGTTTTTCAGTTTATGAGAGAAATGACTAAGACATGACTAAAAGCTAACTATATACTGTTTTTCCCCCATTCAGCAAAAGGCCAAAAGGAAGACAAAAACTAAACAGGGGTTGAGGAATCCCCTTCCATCCCAAACAACCACCTGTCCCCACCCCTCCCCAAGGGCCACTGATTGTATTGTGTGCGAATCCCGCTGTAGTCAGAATATACTAATCAGCGGCTGAAGAAATTGTCCCTTTCAGCTTAAGTTGATCAAATTATCAACTTCTATCTTGGGGGACAGTCACAGACCAATCGAAACTTTGGACAGTGTATGGCCAGCTTAAAGTAAAGCTAATCTCAAGCTTTTAATGAAGTTTAAAAAGTTTGTTTAGACAAAACTGATCCAATCAAACAATTACCTTCACTAAAAGATGCAACATCTGGGAGCGTGGCATAAACCGCATGTAGCTTCAGCGCTGTGCTGCGCAGTGGGAGGGGAATGTCCCGTCCCACTCGCAGAACAAGGGAGTTGAAGATCATGATATCATCTGCCCACCTCTCCGCTTCTGCCAAATCAGAGGAAGCTTTGTATTCTTTCACAGAATACCATGTCTGACTCCATTTTGTTCTGGATGTGGGAAGGGAAGGTCTCATCCCAATGCTGAACACTGTGTAGCTGGCACTACATATAGTTTATACAGAATTCCCAGCTGCATCTCATGCCTTGTATACACTATCAAGTTTTTTTCATTCAACCCAGTAGGGTGAACGAAAATAAAAGTGAAGAGCTTAGGAGGAGCTCACTATACTAAGTATCCGATATAGTGATTTCCTCCCACCAGAATATACCAGTCAGCACTTGCAGCATTGGCTCCAGCACTGATTGGATGCTGTCCGAATGCTGGTTTTCCAGCTTGCCCGTTTGGCAGAAGCCGGCCATTTGGATTCTGTCAAACATGGTGCTGTACACCTAGGCCGAACCGGCTGATATTCGGCTTGTGTGCCTAGGGCTTAACGGTGAGTTTGCATTGCCCTGATGCGGTCCCACTTGGGTTTGGGCAAAGCGAAACTAACCCCCAGGTTTCATGCATTCAGCTGCATTTTTCCATAGACTTCTAAGAGAACCGCAGGTTATCTGCTTTAGCAAAAGGGCAAAAGGGGCACTGTGAAGCCACCCTTACCCTAGGTTCACACCTAAGCAGTTTTTGCAGCATTGTGCAGAAATGCAGTACAGTCCATTACACATGATTTCCTATGGGGCATGTTCACATCTGTGCGTTTTCACCTGGTGCGGTTTTTTGGAAAGGGTCAGGGACTTTTTTGAACGCAAAAAAATTGCATTTTTGGTTCTATGGGCTTCAAAGAAAATGCTTCAGAAAAGCATGTATTGTGTTTTTGTCATGTTTTGCGTTTTAAATCTGCCAAGCAACAAGAAATATGAAAAAAGAAAAAAAAAAAAACGCAAAAAACAGAAGTGCAAAAATGCAAAACACAACGCAGAAATGGCTCAAACGCAACCTACATAGGTGTGAACCTAGCCTTAGTGAAGGTAACAGTTCATTTGACCAGCAATTAACACCTGAGAGAGGTTCTATTACTTTATTACTTACAAACTGGCTGATATTCGGCCCATGTGTATAGGACTTATGGCGGCTTCACATTGCCCTGATACGGTCCCACTTAGGTATGTGCAAAGCGCAACTAACCCCTGGGTTTCATGCGAATTAGCCATACTTTTCCATCGACTTCTACAAAAATCACAGGTTAGCTGTGCTTTAGCAAAAGGGCAAGGGGGGCACTAGGAAACCATCCTTAGTGAAGGTAGCAGTTCATTTGGACCAGCAATGAACACCCGAGAGAGATTCTATTACTTTCTCACACAAAATGTGACTGAAGTTTTAGAAATCGGACTTTCACAAGCAAGCTGATCAGCAAATGCCCACCACCCTGCTCAATAGGCACAAAACTTTGTACTCCCCAAGTGTGAAAATGCATTTTGGTTCCACAATCTTGTTAGAAAAAAAACCAGATTGTGTATAAACAGGTGGCAAACAAGGAATGCATGTAGGTAGCTTAATTCAATAAAACATTGAAAGAAACAATGAATGGCAATCACAACTGCAAGAAGCAGTAATCACAACCTGCAATATGTTCCTAGAAGGCTACCTTTGCACAGGTGACCAGCACTGGTGCAAATGAAAGCAGAATCTGAGCAGGGTGGTGGTAAAAGCTGCAAGAATCAGCAAAGTGCATCCAGGAGCAATCACCGCAGGTAACTGCTGGCTGGGTGGATAGTCAAGGATAGCTGCCGCCACCACGGACCTGTACAATGCTTGGTAGCCGCAGCCAGCAGCTCACAGGTGACAGAATCAGCAGATTTCTGCCGCTGTCATTCACACATGCGCTAGTCAGCCGTATGAATGTAGCATTAAGCCGGCCATACATGGGTTGAATTCCAAAAGAATTTTCTTTAGAAAAATCTTAAGAATTTTCGTTTGAATTTCGCATTTTTATTTTCGAACGACCATCGAATTTGAGTGATTGTGCATGTTGGAAAGTTTTTGAAACACAAATTTCTAATCAATGATGGGAGAGTCGTGCGAGAAATGTACCATATTTTTCGGTCCATAAGACGCACCTGACCGTAAGATGCACATAGAGAAAAAAAATAAATATTCTGAACCAATGGACTGCAGACATTATACAGGAAAAAGACCAGAGACTGCGGACACGGTACAGGGGATGACCAGAGACTGCGGACACGGTACAGGGGATGACCAGAGACTGCGGACACGGTACAGGGGATGACCAGAGACTGCGGACACGGTACAGGGGATGACCAGAGACTGCGGACACGGTACAGGGGATGACCAGAGACTGCGGACACGGTACAGGGGATGACCAGAGACTGCGGACACGGTACAGGGGATGACCAGAGACTGCGGACACGGTACAGGGGATGACCAGAGACTGCGGACCGGTACAGGGGATGACCAGAGACTGCGGACGCGGTACAGGGGATGACCAGAGACTGCGGACGCGGTACAGGGGATGACCAGAGACTGCGGACGCGGTACAGGGGATGACCAGAGACTGCGGACGCGGTACAGGGGATGACCAGAGACTGCGGACGCGGTACAGGGGATGACCAGAGACTGCGGACACGGTACAGGGGATGACCAGAGACTGCGGACGCGGTACAGGGGATGACCAGAGACTGCGGACGCGGTACAGGGGATGACCAGAGACTGCGGACACAGGGGATGACCAGAGACTGCGGACGCGGTACAGGGGATGACCAGAGACTGCGGACGCGCGGTACAGGGGATGACCAGAGACTGCGGACGCGGTACAGGGGATGACCAGAGACTGCGGACACGGTACAGGGGATGACCAGAGACTGGGACGCGGTATGACCAGAGACTGCGGACGCGGTACAGGTGACCAGAGACTGCGGACGGGGGGATGACCAGAGACTGCGGACGCGGGGTACAGGGGATGACCAGAGACTGCGGACGCGGTACAGGGGATGACCAGAGACTGCGGACACGGTACAGGGGATGCGGCGGTACAGGGGATGACCAGAGACTGCACAGGGGGTATGACAGAGTACACGCGGTACAGGGGATGGGAGACTGCGGACGCGGTACAGGGGATGACCAGAGACTGCGGACGACAGGGGATGACCAGAGACTGCGGACGCGGTACAGGGGATGACCAGAGACTGCGGACGCGGTACAGGGGATGACCAGAGACTGCGGACGCGGTACAGGGGATGACCAGAGACTGCGGACGCGGTACAGGGGATGACCAGAGACTGCGGACGCGGTACAGGGGATGACAGAGACTGCGATACAGGGGATGACCAGAGACTGCGGACGCGGGTACAGGGGATGACCAGAGACTGCGACACGGTACAGGGGATGACCAGAGACTGCGGACACGGTACAGGAGATGACCAGAGACTGCGGACACGGTACAGGGGATGACCAGACACTGCGGACACGGTACAGGGGATGTCGAATGACCAGAGACTGCGGACACGGTACAGGGGATGACCAGAGACTGCGGACACGGTACAGGGGATGACCAGAGACTGCGGACACGGTACAGGGTATGACCAGAGACAGCGGACACGGTACAGGGGATGACCAGAGACTGCAGACACGGGTACAGGGGATGACCAGAGACTGCGGACACGGGGGAATGACCAGACAGAGAATTCAGACATTGTACAGGGGATGACCAGAGACTTTGGATGTACTACAGGAAGATGACCAGAGACTGTGGATGTACTACAGGAGATGACCAGAGACTGTGGACACAGTATGGGAAATAACCAGAGACTGCGGACATAGTACAGGTGATGACCAGAGACCCGAATTTGACAGGTACCCACTCCCACTATGATCACCTCTCTCCCCCGAAGTCTTCTGGGACACGTAACAGGTCCCAGATGGCTACGGGGCCATTCACAAACAGCAGCGCTTCTCACGCATGCGCAGTGGGCACCCAGCAGTGAGGCTGCAAGCTATCGCAGCTGGGTGCCCACACTAAAAATGATGAGGTGATGAGAACACCGCTGGACCGAGGAACAGGTAGGACTGAGGAGCAGGTTCTGCTGCACAGAAGAGCCGAGCGGCCAGCCCAGTATTCTAACATGGCGGCGGGAATACCGAGTCGGCCGCTCCATACGACGAACAGACATTTCCCCCCATTTTTTTGGGGAAAAAAAAAAAAAAAACGTCCTATGGAGCGAAAAATACAGTAATTGAAAAAGAAACGAGCACGAGCTGTGACCTGGAAAGAAAATAAAAAAAATTCTTGGCCGCGAAAATTTTTTTCTGTAGCAACATGAGGTCAAAGGCTTGGTTGGTTGAATTTCGAAATCAGATTACAAAAAAAAAAAAACGAACAAAAATTTCAGATTTCCTAAAGCAAATGAATTCAGAATTTGACCCATGAATGGCCTCCACTAGTCTGGCTTCAGTAGTGCTTGCCATGGCTTACTGCACTTTGTTTCGTATAAGGTTTATGGGATAATCATGTTTTTAATATATTATAATCCTCCGTTTAGGGTGTATTCACATCATATGTGTTGGTTGGCGCTGGGCAAGGTAGACCCAGCGCATAGACAAGGCAATTTGATGGGAGTCCCACAAGTTCAGTTCACACCACTGTGCTAAACAGCTTGTTGTGATGCACCACACCACAACAAGCTGCAGTGCATAAAGATCAATCAAAGCAAACTAAAAAAAAAAAAAATGTAAAAAATATGAAGTAAAACAGCTCTAAGTGTCATTACAATGCATCGGCACCGCTCCTTTTATAGCGAACACAAGGAACCGCTGGTATGAACAAGTCCTTATTTCTGATTAAAACAAATTGAAAGGTCTTCGCATTATTTCTCATCTGTGCACCTAGAGATAAGGATTCTGTTCCTAAACGAGTGAAATGTACTCTCCACATTTGTATGGCTAAAGATGTTCACGTTTCCTCCCACAATCCAAAAATACTCTAGCCCAGGACTGTTTACATTTGTGCGCCAAGAGTAAGCTCCACTTACAGAGAGAAACAAGGATGTGTGTATAAAATGCTCTGTACCATCAAACGTAATGTCCTGGAGCGTCACAACCAAAGACTACAAAAAACAGGGGCATTGATAAATCCACACGTCTATTTTTTTTTTTTTTTTTAAAGGCCGAGAAGGCATGTAAAGTACTTTAATGAAAAATGTTTTTTTTTTTTTCGAAAAAACAGAACTATAAAAAAAAATATGATCTCTCCTAGATTGTAAGCTCTAACGAGCAGGACCCTCTGAATCCTCCTGTATTCATTTGTATTGTAAATGTACTGCCTGCCCTTATGTTGTAAAGTGCTGCGTAAACTGTTGGTGGTATACAAATCCTGTATAATAACAAAATAATTCAATTGAAAAGAGCTACTAATGCCATTTAACCATTTGCCCTCCAGAGCATTTACCCCCCTTCCTGACCAGGCCATTTTTTTTGCGCTACGACGCTGCATTATTTTAACTGACAATTGTGCATTTATGCAATGCTGAACCCAAATGAAATTTACTTTTTTTTCCCCATGAATAGAGCTTTCTTTCAGTGGTGTTTGATTGCCTGTGCGGTTTTTATTTTTTGAGATATATATATATATATATATAATATAAATAAAGACCAACAATTTTGAGAAAAAAAAAAAACAATATTTTTAACTTTTTGCTATTAAACATTTCCAGTAAAAAATTTGTAAAAAATTCAACTTTCGTCCTAAATTTAGGCCAAAAAGTATTCTTCTGCATGTCTTTGCTAAAAAAAAAAAAAAAATCCAAAATACATGTAAATTAATTGGCTTTATGTGAAAAATTATAGCATTTACAAAACGGCGGTATATATACTGGGATTTTTTTGTACTAGTAATGGCGGCGATCAGCACTTATAGCAGGACTGCGGGACTGTGACGGGCATTCTGACACTGGGGGGGAACCAACTTGGTGTCACTGACATCCCCAATGACACCAATACAGTGATCAGTGCTAACAAAAAGCACTGACACTGTACTAATGGCACTGGGCAGGAAGGGGTTAACATGTGGAGCGATGAAAGGGTTAACGGTGTGCCGTTTTACTGTGTGCTGTGTTGGAGCTTTCAACTGTAAGCACACTGCTTTGTATGGCTGTGCTATGCAGAGCCATACAAAGCAGTAAGCTGGAGCTGACAGGGGAGAGAACTGTATTGTTTACATACAGTTCGCTCCCTCCGTCAGTAATACTTAGCGATCACCGAGTGCCAGTGAGTAACCCCATATATATATATATATATATATATATATATATATATATATATATATATATATATATATATATATATATATATATATATATATATATATATATATATATATATATATAATGGGAAAGTGGTTTAGATAGATAATTATCTATCAGGGTTGTGGACATTTTTGAACAAAAAACTACTTGTCCAGAGACTAGATCGGTGCCCCCCGATCTACTTGTCTCTCATGACAAGTAGTAAGTAATGTCTGAGGCTTTTAAAAACAAAAAGAGGCTTTAAGGTGACTTAAACGTTTAATATTTTTAACATTGCGCTGTTTATCTCCTCCCTGCCTGTCTCCAGCACTGCACCCAGGGACTAGCAGGGAGGGGATAGACCTTGCAGTACAATGAGCACCGATTGGGTGCATGTCAGGAAAGAGGAGTGTTGGGCTTATCCTTTATTCCTTTTGCTGCCAGAACTATTTTTGCTGTTTTTGCACACGTTTAAAAAAATCATTTAAGGCCTGAAGATTACACAAAACTCCCAAACATTATATATTTTCTGAAATCAGAGACCCTAGAGAATAAAATAGTGGTAGTTCCAATTTTTATGTAACACGATAATCACAAAAGGTGAAAAAAAAAAATTTTTCAGTAAAAAATACACAAGTTAATTTTAGGGCACAAAAAGCAATAAATTATCAATTTTTTTTTGTAAAACTATAAAAGAAGAGGTTGCGTCAAATAGATATCCAAACATGTCAAACCTTAAATTTGTACTCGCTCGTGATAATGGCAACAAAACTTCTGTACCCTAGATTTTCTATAGGTGATGCTTTTAAAGCATGCATGGCAATATGCAACGTGTATCGCAATCATCGTTTTCCTATGTAGGTGTCCCAGAGCGTGTTTTTATGTTTATAAATGTGTGGGGGGGCCTCGAAAAATATACATATAGTTTACGACAACTTCCAATTTGTAAAAATCTATATATTATTCTTGCACTGCCTTTAAAACCCACACTCCGTGAATAAAACTCTAACGTCTCATACACACAATAAGAATCAGACTAATGAGTGTCTATTTTTTTTTTTGCATTTTAATCTCTATATCAAAAATGAAGAGGTTACTCAACTTAAGAAAATTCCCTGTACAACAAAATAGAATGAAATTGTATTGATTAAACGAAAATCGTATGATCTGGTATCGTACAAGAAAATATTTTCATGTTTGTCGCTTTGGGTAATGTCAGATTAACTACCATGATCGGCTGTCGAAAGCTGTATACCAACGATCAGATTATCATGTGATCGCCTCAAAAGCGGTATTTTTAGTAAGATTTTCTAATCGTGTATACAAGGCTTAAAGTGATTCTAAAAGGTTCACTTTTTTTTTTTAAATAACAAACATGTCTATACTTACCTGCTATGTACATTGGTTTTGCACAGAGCAGCCTGGATCCTCTTCTTGGGTCCCTCGCAGGCTCTCCTGGCCCCTCCCTCCTGTTGTGTTCCCCTATAGCAAGCAGCTTGCTAAGGGGGCACCTGCTGCTTCATGTGTCCATTCACACATGGAGCTGTAGGTTGGCCCCACCCCATCTAACCACTCATTGGCTGACTGGCTGTGATTGACAGCAGCAGGAGCCAATGGCTCCCACTTGCTGTCTCAGCCAATGAAGAGGCAGAGACCTGGGACAGCCAAAGCTGCCATTCACATCGCTGGATTTTGATGAGACTCAGGTAAGTATTGAGGGGGCTGGGGGCACTGCTGATGTGACGGGAGTCACTTGGGTGGGGGGCCCATGGAACCCAGCTTACTTTGGAGAGGCGGAGAGACCCATCTCGGCTCCCCATACCCTTCTTATGTGTAAATCACCCTGTGCCTGTTAGGGGTACAGGGTGATCTGTCCCAATATTGGGGTGGGGGGTTATTGATTGTTTAATGTTATGTGGCTGCATTAGCTTAGTGGGGGGGGGGGTGTCTCCAGCAGCCCTCCCTCCTGATGGGACTGTCTCCTGGTGTAAAGTTTGAATACCTGTGTGTCTCGTTACTAAATGTAGATTACCCCGCCCTGTGTCATTATGCAGGGAGGGGGGATTGTCCCCTGAGTGTAAATATCTTGTATCTGTGTTTAAATAAAGTAGTCTACTCTGGTTTACTTCAAGACTGGTGTCGTCTAGTCTTGTATGGTCGGCTGTGGTGTCTGTTGTCGGTGTTTCGGACGGGGAAGCGGTATTCTAACGGAAGTACTCAAGCACAGTCTGGGTCGGTTCAGTTACAGCTGCACATAGAATGCATGAAGGTAAAAAACCTTGAACCTTTACAGCCACTTTATAAAGCTACTTAACACCAATTGTGCATCATGTATTACCACAATTAAACAATATACCAGCAATGTGCAGTGCTTTGTAATAAAAATAACTCACAATTTACACATTAAAGGAAATTGATTATTTGCATTTTTCCCTATAATGAATTTGGATATTGCGAGTTATTTTCATAAAACGTGCTGTACATTTCTGGTATACACTTCCAATTTGTAGCTTACCAATTATTTCTATATATTAATGGAGCGCTGATGGGTTAAGCAAGGT